ATATATAATCAGAAAAAAAAACCGATTAATTAAAAAGAAAAATCCAACAACTTATAGTAACAGAACTAGTATAGTTTAGGAATGAAAGTTGATCTCTATTACAGGAACACTAAAGAGAGGGTTCCCAAAATTCTGGTGATGGCAGTCCTCCGTGAGGAAGCATTAGAGTTCCATCTAAGTCATCGCTGTCAATACATCCAGTCCAGGCAGTAGAATCAAGCTCTTCGCATCGAAACCACTCATGACTTTACCAGGCAATTTGGAATTGTCCCTAATGGATTTCCAAGGTAATCTGGGTTGGCTACTCACAAGCAAAGAATGCTCAAGGATTATCATTCTGGAAGCAGAGGTGACCTTGAGGGTTTCTTAACATTTCTCATCAATATTACAATTATTTGGTTCAATGAAAAGGGGAAGCAATAAAAGTATGGGGAAGAAATATTTAAGCTAAGCAGCAACAATAAATTGCTGGTGACAAGATAACACGCTGCACTTAACAAAATCTCATCTAAGAAGCTTAAAGCAGTTAACACTAACCACAATCATGCTCAATTGAGGGGTGGAAGCTAAATTCAGTAAAGCCAACTCCACGTTCTTTAGTTACAAGGAAGAATAATGGATTGGGTAGCTAAAATTCAAAATTTTACAAAAGATCCCTTTAAACCTCCTTCTTGATCACACTATTTAGTATTATTGCTGGCAAACTGGATGGACAGATTTTAATCTTAGCTTAAATTATTTCCACTGATGCCATCAACGGGGCAAACGATCCTAAGTAGACTGTAGTAAAATATCAGTTGGCATTCCAAAATTGCACACAGAATTCAATTTGCCAAACACTTATTGAGCACAAACAGAAAAGCATACAAAAACCAACAGGCTTAAGTCCCCATGCTCTGTGGGGTGAAAACAGGAGTCACAAGAGGGCTTCGATAATTAATTATATAGCCATTGTCACCATTATTTTTTGAGGACCAATTAAACCTGGAGAGAGGCAGAAAACAAGAGCATTTAAAGAAATTCAGTACACAGGTAAATCCTAATACGGTAATACCCTGCTTGCTAGATCTATTCATTAAATAACGAATACACGAGGATCGACAAGGTACCAAGCTCTGTTTTATGTACTGGGGATACAGCCGTCACTAAGACGAAGTCTTTGCTCTCATAAGGGTTACACTAGTGACAATGCTTACCAATAAACAACTAGGGAAGTGATTCACACTAAATCCTAAAAACCAAATAAATACCTGAAAATGATGAAAAATTATCTCTCAGTAAACTAGATATCTGAGAGGCCAGGATTAGCAAGCTTATATTTTTTAAGAATGAAATATGATGGAATTTGCCACTGTGGGACAGAAATAGGGCAGAGAAAGATAAAAATGCCCCAGTTCCAAGAGAGGGGTGGGGAAGGGAAGATATCTATATTAACACCAAAGCCTCACAATGATTTTTCCTCAGATGATACTAAGGCAATCTCAAGGTGGTCGCTTAGGAAACAAAGGGACTCCGAGAATTCTTTTTAAGATTTTCCAATTTCTACAGGACTATGATGATTTCCTAAGCCACATATGTCACAGAGCAAGCCTCCTGGCCCAATTAGGCCAGCCAGCCAGCTGCCCACAATTATCCCAGGCATCCTACCAAGGCCATGATCTGAGTCAGAAATGAAAGAACTCCCTGATATGCCACAGAAATATGTCGATTATCTCATGAAACATACTTGCACATATATACACAAACACACGCAGATACGTATGCAGGTATGGGGGTAGGTGGGTAGGCAGGTAGTCTTCTTTAGTTGACAAAGAGGCACAGAACTAGGTCAGGGTTCAAAACCTATTGACCCATTTTCTCTACGGTAAATCATACTTTGCCACATAACCAAGAAGGTATTTTTCCCTCTGGTTGAAGAGAGAAGGAAAGCAGCAGTATCCCATACTAGACACGATGGGGGTGAGATATCTACACGTATTCTAACCTGCCCCATCTCATACTGCCTTCTCGCCACCTAAATAAAAGGCTTCTGGAAGGGGTGGGGAACCTACGGCCTCGGGGCCACATGTGGCTTTCTAGATCCTTCAGTGCAGTCTTTTGACGAATCCAAATTTTACAGAACAAATCTTTTTAACAAAGGGATTTGTTCTGTGAAGTTTGCATTTGGTACAGGGACTGCACTTGGGGATCTGGAGGGCCACATGTGGCCTCGAGGCCTCAGCTTCCCCACCCCTGAAGGTGAAATTAATCTATCCTGTTAGAAGTCAGGAGAGGCTGGGCACGGGGACTCACGCCTGTAATCTTAGCACTCTGGGAGGCTGTGGCAGGAGGATTGCTTGAGCTTAGGAGTTCGAGACCAGCCTCAGCAAGAGCAAGACTCTGTCTCTACTAAAAATAGAAAAGATTAGCCAGGCGTGGTGGCACATGCCCATAGTCCCAGCTACTCGAGAGGCTGAGGCAGGAGGATCATTAGAGCCCAGGAGTTTGAGGTTGCCGTGAGCTAGCCTGACACGACGGCACTCTAGTCCAGGTGACAAAGTGAGACTCTGTCTCCAAAAAAAAAAAAAAAAAAAAAATAAGTCAGGAGAGTGGTTACATTTCACATTTCATTAGGGGATAGTGCTAGGCAGGTGCTATGAGAAAGGTACACGGGTGCTAGTGATGTTCTAATTATTGACTCAGGTGCTATTAATAGTTACCAGGTGTATTTGCTTTGTGAAGAATCAGTAAGCTGTACACTTGTATGCACTATCCTACATGTATATTGTATTTCAACAGGAAATATTTTTTAAATTTAGCTTCTTAACAATTTGTGGTTTATTATTAATTTATATTTACTTCTTCCTGAGACATTATTTGGAAATTATTCAGAGCCATGGAATTTCTCTAATTTGTAGAGCAATCAATCATCAATAAAATCTACAAACCTATTAGTCTTTCCTAATGTGTCATTGATCAAATAGCACCTCCACGCAGTTATTAGGAAAAAAAATTATGTGTACAGGAGTGCATTTTACCAAACTTCCAGGTTAGCAGTGTCTTCACACGTGGGGCCAGGGGAGTGAAACTCATTATTGTACATGAGATTTCCTTAAATTGGTATTTTAAAATCCCTCTTAAGAGTTATACAAATTACCATAATCCAAAGGCAAATGGTAGTTACGGTTTTTCTATCACAAGGCTGTGAGCCAAAATCTATTTTTTGACCTTTTTTCTTCTCTTCATTCAACTTGAAAATGGTAATAAAAATGATAATGATAAAAGAGAGAAATCCCATAAAGGAAAGGAATATGAGGGCAAGTAAATCACCAGCAGTACGACCTAAGAGTTCCGTGCCCTCCTCTCTTCCATACTGCTGGCTTGTCTCCCTCCCGCCAAATTTAAGCACACCTGTACTACTTTCTTCCCTTTGAAAACAAAACTGGACCAAAGTTCAATCCAGTGCCTCTTACGTGAGAGCATCCTGATTCTATCTGAAAATTTAATCAAAGCGATATATTTGATTTTGTGAATATTTCTTTGGTGGAACGGGTAATCTTAAACATCTTTTTGATTTACATATCGAAAAGTTGGGATGCTGAAGTAATCAAATGTTTAAGTAATTAAAAATAAGTCGGCTTTCTTTTCCCTACTTGTTTAGGAGTTGGTTAAAAAATTCCTTCCTTAAAAAGATACATATAGATGGATGGCTGAATGCCATCCACTACAAATGACTAATGTCTCTTCACAGACACTGTGTTTTTAGTGCAGTTCTGAATCACTCTCCTCTCCTCTGTTCTGCTCTTACTATGGAGGGCTAAGCTCGGGCGGTATATCCAACAATGCTCAGACTGAGCGGGAAGGAGCATTTCGACATATGCACATATAGCACACTGCATATATACACCTCTGGGCCTGGATCTTGGGTGTACCCCATTAGTTAGCAAGAGTAGATCTCCACTATGTACTACTAAAACAGGTAGCGGTGCAACCTCTCAAGCATCATTTTCTCCATCTCTAAAATAGGCACAATAGTATCCCTACCTCAAAGTGTGGCTGTGGGAATAAGGAAATACAACGCACATAAAGCGATTAACACTAGGCATTTAGACAGTCAATGACTTGTAACTATGTTTGCAGTAGCAGCGATAAAAACTCTTCTCCTAAAAGATGACTTTACAATATCACTTGACAAATACAGAATTTACAGAGACTAATACTCTGCCAAAAAGAAAATTTATCTTTTCAAGTAATCCAAGTCAAATGTGTATTGAAAAAAAGTCTTTGAATGCAGCCTGGCTTCTTGCCAGATGACTTTCAGGCTCTGCATTCAGAACAAATATATCATTCTAAACAGCTTTAAGAAAGACTATGGACGTTAGAGTGACCTGTTGCAAGTCATACTCTCTGAACCTCAGTCTCCTCACCCATAAAATGGGAATAATAATCCCCGCAGCATTAGGTAATACTGATGTTTTAATTGTTATCTGCAAAAGGCCTAAGAGTATCTTGCACGTGATAGATAATTATTTTCAAGCAGATGGAATAAAAGAAGTCATGAGAGGCTTTACCCAAAGCAGGAAAAATCTTAATAGAAATATCTTCATCCTCTGTACTTATTTTTCCCTTCTTTGTAGCACTCTTACAACTTGCCTTCTGTTTTCCTCAGATGTGCTCCTCCTACTGCTACAGAAGTTGATGATTTGATTTTATTCATCTCCACACCTTCTTCCCGCCTCTCCGTCACCCTCCAAGTACATACCAGTGGCTTGTTACAAAGACAGTAATAAATCGATGCTTGGAAAGTCCAACTGCAGGAGAATTTTCACATCACTACAATTTAGCCTGAGGAAAGTGGGACCCTCCTCCAGAAACAGAAAGAGAAGAACACAAATGTTTCTGGACCACAAATTATTTTTTGAACCACCAATGGGAAAAATTTCAGAAACAGTATTTTGCTTAGCTTATTTCACTCCCTACTTTCAACTAAGATAAGAGTGACATCTGAGAACAAGGCTTACCTATTTGCACCATTTCTTCATTACCAGCCTGGAAAGGAGGGGGGAAAGTAAGAAAAAGAAACAGTTACTGGGTTTCGTCTTATCACCTCACGCGTTTTATTTCTACCATTAATGCTTTTCAGGAGCTAATCAGGAGACGCTGGAGACTGGGATTGGTGCCTAAAGGCTGTACCTTGGTCTGTAGAAGGTTCTGGTGACAGGAGCGTGAGCCAATTCAACAACAAATTTGGGGAAGGGAGCTGTTTGCCCGTCTTAATTTTAATTTAACTTTTATGAAGCCAGCAAAAATAAATACTGACACTCAATAGTCTCTTCTGAAAACTCCCAAACTGGGTCTGGATTAGAAAAGAAAGTCTCTGAATTTCAACAGGCGAAAAGAAGCCTAAAAGTTTGGGGGTGGGGAATGGGGGGGGGAGCCTAAGTCATCAGATTTGAGGTCAGAAATCCACTGGACAATTCTCTACGTTTTGCCCTATGGTCCGACCAGGCAGACCAGAGAAGCTACAAAGACTCACGGAGAAATTCTGTACCCCGAGTCCCCCCGGCCCTGCGCTGCGATGATTTACTGCAGGCGGCTCGGCTGGCCCGGCTCAGCCTTCTCAAGGACCCGGCTCTGCGGCACCGGGCTTCACCTTGAGTCCCCGCAGGGTGGGGGCAGGGCGAGAGAAACAGAGCTGCTCTCAACTTCGCTTTGGAGACGAGGAGCCGTGCAGGGGGGAGGGGAGAGGGCGCCGGCGCCTCCAGCCGCTGCCCAGGAAAAACGCGGGGCAGGAAACGTCTCCGGCCCCCTCCCCAACTGTCAAACCGAGCCCGGCCTCGGTCCTCCCAGGACACGTGTCTACTGGATCGCTCCCTGGCCGGCCCAAGGACTTCCTGAAACCCCAGCCTCCGGCTGCCCGAAAAGCCGTGAGTCAGTCAGTGAGGACAGAAAGCCCCGCGAACCCGACTCCGGCTGCAGCGACCGGAGCTGTGGGACCCCGGACCCCGCGTCCAAAACTTCATTCGAGCTCCCAGACCGCCCTCCAGAAAGGGGCGCCCCGGACGGCCCGGCGAGGATGCGAACTGGCTGCCGTTCGTCACAGCAATCGCTCCGAGCGCCGCAGAGTGGAGAAGCCCTAGGTGTGACAGCCGGAGCTCCCGGAGCGGGAGTCGCAACCCCCCGTGCAATTCGACCCCCGCCCCAAAAAGCCACGCACGCCGCGCCCAGCCCGCAAAACACCGCTCCTGAACGCAAAGGTTAACGGGGAGGGTGGGGGGAGGAGGAGGGGAGAGAAGAGGGGAGAGGGGGGAGGAACTTTTTCGGGAAAAGGTTGGGTTTGAGTTTTTTATTGTTATTATTTTCCACTTACTTGTCCATCAGCTGAAGTCCTAACCTCTACCAGAGCGGCTGCTATCAACCAAAGTGACAGGAGAACCATCACGAGTCGAGTTCACTTTCCAACTACTGGGCACAGCAAATGCCCAGAGCAACCCCCCCCAAAATAAGTTTCTTTAAAAAAAAAAAAAAAAGGGAAAAAATGCAGAATAAAAAAAAAATCCTCTGTGCTTTGCTTCAATGAAAGTGCAAGTCGAGCTCTGCGCCTGCCCCTCCGCTGTGCAGTTCTCTCCCCTTCACCTTCTCACCCCGTCCGCCCGCGCCGGGTGCGGGAGCGAGAAGGTGCGAGCGGCACGGGCTGCGCGGGAGGGGGGCACGAGGGGCTTCCAGCTATCTCTGCCCAGCGCGGCTTTTTCGAGGCGTTTCGAGCACCATCGGTCCCCACGGCGAGCGCGGAGGACGCCGGGGTTCCCGGGAGCACGGCAGGGGGAGTGTTAGCGAGAGAAGAGCGAGCGGGAGCGGGAGAAAGAGGCAGGAGACGGCGACTCCGCCGCACACGCAGAGGTGGGGGCGGGAGGAGCGAGGGGAGGAGGAGGAGGAGGAGGAGGCAGGCGGGGGCGGGAGGAGTGGGCCGCTCGCCGGCTCCTGTTGCTAGCGGACGGGCGACTGCTCGCTGCCCGCGACCCGCGCGGCGCTGAGGCGGCGGCCCGCGCCCCCGGACGGCCCCTCCCGCCCCGGCGCCCACGTCACCCGCCGCCCGGCCCGCGCCCCCCGGCGGAGTCGGCGTTCGGGACCACGCGGGAGCTTGTGTGGCCCAGGCGTGACCCCCCAGCCCGGAGCCTCTGCTTCCCCCAGAAGGGGGAGGGCAGGGGAGGGTCCCGGGGCGCCACCAGTCCTGCCTGGCGGGACGCGCACAGAGTTAATTATAGGAAGGGGGAGGGTCCAGGGCTGGTCCTGGGCTGTAGGAAATTCGTCTCCTGCAACCTCCACGTTCCCCAGCCAGGGAAAAGCCTCCCCGGAGAGAAACCCTGGAACTTCCAGGTCTCGATGACGCGATGATCTCCCCTCCAGACACCGGTCGCCTCCCACGTTTTGGGAGGGAGGGGGTGCCTTCCTCCTTAAGCTCCTGTTTATGCTTTATTCGTTTATATTAGTTTTGAAAGATACCGTGTCCCTTCTTTGACTCACCCAGATGCTTCCGTTTATCACCAGAGTACACAGGCCTCAGCGCCTCTTCCCCACACCAAGATTAAGTTATCAATGATTTCCGCCCACTGCTGTGGCCTGGAGCTTCCTGGGAGGAGATGACACCAACCTAAGAGTTTGCAGGCATCCTAGCCCCGGCCCACCTCCCAGTGGAAGACACCTGTGGGTGCTTTCCAGGGAGCAGAGAGGAGGAAAGGGAACTATCTCCAACCTCTACTGACCAGTCTCTGACACACCCTTCCAAAAACAGACCACGTGAGAAGAATGATTAGACACAAATTTAGATATAATCTTCAAGACTTCATCTGGAAAGAGTCTTGAAGAGGCCTGCCTAAAATAAAACGTGAGAAGCTGATGTTTGTTTTGCAATGAGATGCTTCCATAAGTCATAGTTGCTGTAAAAACAGTATGAGTTTGGAAGGTTTCCTGCAACTTTGATTCATTATTTATTCCTAGAGAAGTAAAGTAACGGTTGAGCCTTTATCTTACTCATCGCAAGATTTGGTGTTCACGGATGTTTTATGTGTTCAGTCATCTCAAAATCGTATATGCAGGACGTTTATATATGCCAGCGAGAACCCAGATAACTAAATGGCCCCGCCTATTAACACAAGGTATAAGATTAATTAGTTATTAGTTGAAATTAAAATTAGACCCCAGCACTAAAGTATCTCTAAATTACTTTTTTTCCTTCAATCAAAGCCTGTAGCATTTTTGTAACCTGTCATTGACTTGCTATCCAGGAGTGATTTGCTGACCTTTGCACCTAGTTTTCTTATTCATTAAAAAGAAGTAACTCTAAGCATTCCATAAATAAAAATTTTGTCGGTTCACACTGACAAATAAAAGAATACTAGAGTACAAATCAGGAGACTTGGGTTCTTGGCCCAGCTAACAGCTGTCTGACCTTGACGAGTCACTAAAACTCTATTTTGGTTTCTCCCCTATGAGGTATTTCAGCTCTAAAACTCTCTGATTTTAAGTAATAACAAATAATGTATTTAGCCATAGTGTTACAGTGGTCCCTTTTGTGTTAATTTTACAACATTCAGACATTTTTTTATCACCTAACTCTTGGCACAACAAGCAATTCATGTGACTTATAGGCAAGCAGTGGCTTCAGACATTTTTGGCCATGACCACAGAGAGAAATGCATAATACATTGTGATCCAGTAAAAATTTCATGATTCAGTACTTACTTGTAGAGCATGCAACAACCCTGATATTTTCTTCCTATTTTCTTTTTTCTTTTATACAGGTTAGGACGTACTTAATTGATTTCACAAACCAATGAGTCACGACCCTCACTCTGACAGGATTGATTTAAGAGCATACAATATGGTTTATATTTCTCCAGTTCTAAATAAGATGAGTTCTAATCAATAGTGTTCTCCCAGTATACTCCAAGACAGCGTTTCCCAGAGTATTTCTTGGAATGTTAAATGTTTTACCAGAAACAAAAAATTCTGACAGTCAACTAAAGTTTGTGCAATACTCAGATAAACAAAATGAAATAGATTGCCTTCTTTTAGACTTCACAAGGACTTTAATAACACAAATACACTGTGAGTCTTCGAGGCAAAGATGTAGTACAGTTTGGTCCCCATAGTTACGTGACTACAGATTGCTTTTTCCTCATAATTTTCCTCTGTGGAACACACTTGGGGAAACGCCACTACAAAGCTCAATTATTAAAGTAAAATGAATTTCTAGCTAGGTTCGATTCACATGTAGATTGAGCCTCAGTTTTCTAAACTCTAAAGTCAGTTTAATGATACTGGTTTTGCAGAATTTTCATGAAGATTAGCATGATCTTACATGTAAACTGTCTAGCAAATTGTCTAGAACATAGTAAAGGATTAAATGTACTTGTTTTAGCTGAAACTGATGGCATATTTACAGATGGCTCACTGGTACTGAAATATGGAAACTTCTAAAGAAACTAGGAAAATGTAAACAGCTAAAATATGACTGACTTCTTTTTACCAGAGATGTTAGGAGTCAAAGGCAGAGTCATTGAATTCCTTTCACAAAACGACCCCCACCAGCCTGGCTAGCATCATGTGCCTTCCCTCCCCTCTGGCTTTCTTTGGCTTCAGCTACCATGTTGTTTCCCACACACTCCTGTCTACACACTTGCTCATTGACTTCTCAGTCTACACCACCCTCCCTCTTCCCATCCACATGGCAAAAAGTATCATATTACAGGAGATGCTAATAAGAGCTCCACAAAAATTCTAAACCAATGCTTGTAGTATGTTTTCTTTCAAAGTATGTTTTAAGTTCATAAATAATTTTGAAAGTAATCACACGTATGTAGCCTCTCTAATTGTAAATCATCCCCTTTAAGTCAAGTTTCATGAAATCAATTGACATATAGACATCAATTAAGAAAATGGCAAATAGGCCCAGCTTTTGCTGTTCTATAGTGGTGGGTCCCATGAGCATCCTCGTACTGGTAGCAATTAAGTAAGCTGAGAGTTGTGGGGTTTTCTTCCTGTTTCAGGCTGACTGATCAATGTTGTATATCTTGTCATAATTTGATATTTTGATACCCGATGTTTATTGTGTATTAAACACATGAATAAAACTTTTGTCATTTCTTACAGCAAAGAATTCATTAATAAACTCCTTTTAGTGTGTGTGTGTGTGTGTGTGTGTGTGTGTGGCTGTTTACCTTTCCAACATTTTAATATATCTAACAACCTCCTGGCAGTATTCATTAGATACATTATATTTTAATTTCATCCCATGATGAAATAAATTTGAGAATTCTATACTCAAATTTGTTCAAAGCATAAGAATAAAACGTTGTCACATGGCTAGATTTATATCTTCCTCCTCCTCTAAAATGCGGGCCCTGACCTCTATTTTATTCGCTTTCCATCACCAGCATCTCACACAATTTCCATTGCCTGGAAGTTGCAGAGTACTTGAACTGCTAAAATCATGACCTTTTTTCCCTGCCTTACAATAAACTTTTTTCCAGGTCCTGGGATTCCGGACACCTACAATTAGCACAGAGGAACATCAGAGTAAGTACAGGGGACCCACCACTGTAGAACAGTGACAGCCAGGCCTATTTGCCATTTTCTCCACCCCTGTCCCCTATATCCTCATAGAGCACAGCTACAAGACTACAAGCCATGCAAGATGAGAAAATGGAGCACAGCAGCATGTATAGAATTATCTTGTTGCTCATTGGCGGCAAGAGTCATCCTCAATCTCATTCTTCCTCTCACACAGCACCCTCCCATTTCATATAACACTGATTTTTTCATCTGTGGGTCAAAGAACCAAGTATGTTGTGTAAATATTACACCTAATATTTTTTTTAATCAAGGCACTAGGTGATTAGGTGTGAGGATGCCAGACTTTCATGCTCATAGCATACAGCCTGGAGCATAGTAGGAATAGAAGAATGTTTGTTGAATGAATAAAGCAGCGAATATTTACTGTCTCTACTTAATTGAGTGAAATGAGTAGGGTTTTCCCCCCTCTACTATCAGTGAATAAGCTATATCCAATTTGAGTCTTTTTCATAGAAATTTTCAGAAGTTCCACCAAAAGATTAAAGAATTAAATAGCAGGAAAATTTATGAACACAAGTGTCAGGAAATTAGAGATGGAAAAGCCCTATTCGGTCATCTAGTTCATGTTTTGGTCAGTGCTTTAGGCAGTGTTGTTCCTGCAATCTTTTCCTTCAGAGGAAAACTAATACCCTGCATGGATAAATTTGGGTGTCCAGGATTCTTTATTTAATTATTTGCTTTTAGAAGAATAATTCCACAATGGGATAAAGTCTTGAGAGAAAACTATTCCTCATTTTCCTTGATCTTCCTCTTTTTTCTTTTTCCTTTTTTTTTTATTTCAGAATATTACTGGAGTACAAACACCTTGGTTACATGATTTGCTTTTGTGCAGTTTGAGTCA